ACCCCAGAACTTCAACGATGGTTACATAAGACCCAACCGTGAGTCGTAATTCTCAGTCCACAAGTTAGACAACATTATGAGAATATTTCCCATACTTATTTTCGAAATTATACGAATGACAGCCCCAAGATATTCCTTTCAGGAGCTCATTCAAAGTACTATTCTTCCGTTTGCCCCGAGACACAAAGAAGCTTGTCAATTCGCCATTATTACCATCGCTACGCTAACCGACAGGCTCACATTCATTAATGGTCTTTACAGCAAGTGAAAGCCTGTGTCGTTCAGTGTCACGGAAAAGCCGAGGCTGGATTAGTGGAAAGCCAGAAGATTGGAAGGGACCTGAAAGTTTCAACTTCAGGGCTTCGATTGCACCTAGGTACGAATGCTGTTTCCACGGCCTTCTCATCCTTCTAATTGTAAAGAGCAACTGTTATGCAAGCATTTGAAGGGTTCGGATTAAGAGTAAGAGAAAAGGGCTTGAATGGTATGATCAGCATATGCAGCAGTGAACAGTTAAAAGTCAAATGATATTTGTGGGGACCGTGAATACATTCTAATCAGTAGTGAGAAAGATGTCATGTAGAAGACCTTCAGCAGTATTTCAAACAGCATACTTTACAAATGATTTAGTTGAACACGTAGCGTTCATTTGATTCGCAAAAGTCATTTTCCATTCAAAGATTGAGTGACATGACAAAAATGTCTTGAGGCGCTCCCTTTATATTTATGAGCATAAAATAATTATGCTTTTACCTGCCAGTATCGTTTTCAATTACAGAATTGTTTAAATGACATTACGAGATGTGTAGGCCGCAGTTTAACATTATTTTTTAAGCCGACTATTCTGAGTTAATCATGAACAATCACTTGTGCCATAGTAGCCTGGACAAATATTTATGATCGCACCTTGCCCTGATATACTCAATTGCTGCTGGCTCTTCACAGAAGAGGTGAAAAATCACTCTCGCATTTAGTCAACATATCTGTGATCATGCCTTGCATCTTTGATTATCTACATAAATAGGATAAAAGGATAATATGTCTTAGCGACGGTATCAATAACTAGCAGTATGCTAGTAAACCCATAAGATCAGGTTTTATTATTTTTGTATGAATATGCCAATGGATCGTGGCATATTTGCAGATGACCGTACAATTCCTTGTTCAGCCCTGCCTTGTGATGCGGTTCTGCATTCATGCACTGCAGGTGTTCAAATGCCAGGGAATCGTGGCCTACTAAAATGGTACCCTAGGCCACTGGAAACAAGGGGACGGTACTTACGCCGCTTCAATCCGGTATCAAAACCTAAAAGAGATAAAATAAAGTAAATATGCCAATTCGAGTATACCGACGTAGCGCAAAATCCAGAAAAATGGAAGTTATTACTGAAGTAGCAGATTCATCATAAACCTCTGAGTGCTCGAACTAATGACACGATGAACTTTGGCGAAATTTGTAACCGAGTCCAAGGGAATAGGTTTTGAGCTGTTATTGCTCTGTGCTATTACTGAAATCACCTTTTTCCAAAAGGCAAAAATTCTTTTCTGTAACAATCCAAACAAGTAAATGGGTGTCAACGATGATCATGCCCCTTCATCGTCCCTAGATTTAATATATCGTTTTTGCACTGATTATCATACCGAACACAACATAAAGCACGGTTTGTTTATACACAATACAAGGAGCTTGGTCAGTTGAATGACTGAAAAATGTCGACGTTTCGGCTCGTATCCCACTGACCTTCTTCCAGATACAGAATGTTGATTTTTCTAGTTCTTTCAATGGTTCGCAGTTGTTCTTACGTTAACGGTCCCTTAAAAGATACCCATTGATGATGGGCAATGGTTCTTCCCTTTGGGTTTGTGGTCATGGTTTTATTGGTCTTAGCTCATCTGCCTTGATGATATGCGAAAATTATTGAAACCTTCCTTCGCCATTAAGGTTCCTGCAAACCAGACAATAAAATTCATCTCGCAATGCTTACAACTTCTGATACTTTTAGCAAGGCATAGTATTGAACGTCGCTATGAGTAAGTTATTTCACGAAATGCCACAGCTACAAGTACAATTTTTGAAAAGCCTTAGAGACAACAACGAAAGATCAGGTTGAACTAAAACCTATCTACATAAAGTCACGGACTTCAATTATTGAATTTATAATATCATGCAAATAAGCACGACAGTGTAATATGGCTACTCAGACAGCACTTGTGTCACAGAGCATGCTCAAGGATTGGCACGGTTCTGATTGACATTTCTTATCCATTTATATATGACGTTTTTTATTTCGCTTCAAGCTTCATAAAATTGCAAATTCAGCATGTTGAGCTTGATGAGTACAGTGCATTCTGCGCACCTTCTGACATTGCCCCTTAAAATAGAATGATAAGAACCGATAATGCTATTTTAGCAGAGCTATTTGTCTAGCGCTGTAGGTGTTTCCAGCTTTTTCATTGGATGGCTCTTTAATATCGATCTTGTCATGATGCAAAATGTATAAATATGCCTTTGAGTTGACGTCAAAGTTGGGGCCACTGAGTCTCGTTCTGTTCTGGCCATGAAGAATGTCTCCAACGCCTCGCTTCTTTATCTGCTGAACGAATGAAACTTTAACTGCAATGAATGTTTTGCAGCGACAAAAAGTGTAACCTTACTCTGAGAAATTTAGGTACTTTAACTTGATATCTATTTCTCTAACAAACACAAAATAAGGCACCTAACGAAGGATTCCGCGGAACTTCAAACAGACTCTGTTTCGCCTTTAAGCGAATATGTAATATATCTCTGTAATAACGTGAATTCCAGGAGAGAGAAATATACCGCGTCATTCGCGACCAGCGGTAGTTTTACAAGTTTCGTAGGAAATAATTAAAACTCATTAAAATTTATGTTTTATAGCAGATTTAATAGCAAAAGACTGCAATACATATATCGCATTCTAATTTAAGCGGATACTACATTACTGAGTGGGAATTTTTGCACAATTTTTCATGGTTAATACGACTCTAAGACAATCTGTGGAGCAAAACTGACGTCTCTCGTCTGTAGTCTATCATTAACGTGGTATTTGGTTACTCAAAGCAGCCGGCAGGATGTGAACGTTTAGGGTAGCGAGGCTGTTAAACGCACCGCGGTTACATTTACAAACAAATCTGTTTACGCAGAGAATGAGTGGAATCATTTTGGCGGGACGCATAGACCTGCAATATAGACCTGCATATACACAGACCTGCAATATACATAGACAATATGCATAGACATGTCATAGACCTGCAATATACATGAATCTGCTGTGTAATGCCGCGCGTCATAATGAAATTTTACTGTACATCGAGACGCAGCATTCGATTTTTCAGATCAGCTCAAATCTGATTCGACGGCGCGTAACGTACGTGCTGTAGCTTCGTCAGCGATGTATTCAATGTTCATCCATCGACGTGTAGATCTCACTTCTATTGGGGTTGCTCGTCGGTAACGTATTAGCGAAGCAGTGTTTAAGAGAACCCTCAGATGCATGAATGATTAAAGACCTGGAACGAACAAACCGATCATCAGGTCACGACGAATGTGACAGTATGTTGCATTCGACATTTCCTGTAAAGTACGGAAACGAAACACGATATCATGAGTTACGTTGAACAAAGCTGATGCGAATGCGCTTAAGAAAATTAAGAATGTCGCAATGCGTTAGAAAAGACAAATTACCTCAATTCGCCTTTTCTTTCGTAATCCCCAGCCATGTGAAATCCGCCATATATCGACATTTTTTTCACCGCTCTTTCCATATCTTGTCATTATCTAATTGTTTCACACAGATGTTCACAACTTTAATCCATGCTTTAATGTTCCATTTACTATATCATTATTATCCTGGTTCGTCCACATACACCATATTTTCATGATATGCAAGACAGGTTCCTTCAAATGTTCAGAAGGATAGCAACGTGATACGTCATTATTATGTCGAACTACCGGACCTTTACTGCTTGAGTGACCTGGCATATGTTGTCTTCTATGCGTTTCCTGATATCACTCATCGAATGCCATTCACATTTTTCTTCATCTAAAACTTAAATCAGCTACTTCTGTTCAATGGGTATATAGCAGGATGAGGTATTCAATTGCAAAATGTTTTCATCATGCCTTTTTAGGCAATAAACATGGCTGTAATCCTGATGCTTCTCTCCAGCTTAGTATCAGAATTTCTTCAACGCAGGCTTGTCTTAGGGACATGAAGATGTATGACTGCTTCTCTGATTCGTCTGT